TTTCGGGATTTCAGCATTTCCTCTCGTTGACGGGAGATATAGCTTCTGATAAAAAGAGATATTCCAAAGTTACGTCTGAATTGGGAGTGGAAATCATAGCCGGGATATAGAAAATTGAAGGGGTTTATTGAAGCACTGACTTTGGTTTCTGTGATTGCAAGAATTTGAGGACTATTTGATTGCAGATGTTGGTGTACTGAGTTTATATTTGAGTTGAGTCCTCTAATGTTGCAGAAATCGATGTTGAAGTTGTTAGTGGGCCTCTTAGCAACTGCAGTTACGATGCTATTACCCTGTGGACTGATGTTAGGAAGACCCTGCTGACTGTCAGAAAAATTGGTTTTCGAATAACTTCTGTAGAATGATGCCCTTGAATCCGCTCCCATCTGGAGATCCGATTGGGGAACTATTTTACCTCCGGAGTATTTTGATCCTAGGAACGTTATCATGCATTTTTCTTATATTCCCACCTTTGAAACCAGAAACAGCGGCACAGCAATGAAACATTAGCCCGAAAGCAACTTCGCGCTGCCTAAGCCGGTGCGATGGTATCTCACCGGGCGACACATATAGTAAATCCAAACTATTTCCTAGTAATTGTACATTTTGATGAAATATGGTTTCATTTATTTGATGTTTTCCTCTCATAGTCTCCGTCCTGTCATTTATTTCTGAAAATGCTCCCCACTAGCTTCTAATAATCTATTAGGTACAGATTCAATGCTACTGGAGAACTGCTCTTTGAATAATATAAAATATAACAGTGCGTATTGCCGATAAACCTCCATAGGTTAGAAAATATCATGAGTTACAAATATTTCCTATTGGTTTTTTATTCTACCACCATAGGATCATTTCACTGGTATGGCCCACCACTAAAATTGTCACCATTTCGTTATTTAGCTACAAAGAATCTTTTTTTGTTTACCCAATTGATTTGTTTATCTTCTTGCCAGCATCCCGAAAAAAAAACTTAACTTCTCCTCCCACCCTCCTTCTATCCCTCCTCTTTTTTGCCTTCAATGAGATCAGACAGATAGCAGTATGTATATGACTAAAATTTAAGTAGGAATAAATCCTGATATGCAAAAAAGTTATATATAACAATAACTGATTGGTAAACCTCTAACTTCTAATAAAAAAAAAATTACATAACATTCTCAATACTACTTGAAAAATAAGAATGTCGATTAAGCTACCAGTGATACAAATCTAGTGTGGTTAACAATTTTGGTTTTGAATTCACAAAGAATATTGGCCAGTTTAGTGCATTGTGTTCACCAAAACAAATGCAGTTCCTCATGTAATCTCTCAAAATAAGTAAGAGCAGTCATTGGAAGAATAGTCAGCTGTAATTTTTTCTTTAATTTTTTTCATATAGGGTATAGAGAATGCCATTCCATTAAGTGCTTGGCATTTCATATTTGTGATTCCTTTTACTTTTTTCAGGCATCCCATCATTAAAAAACTACACAAATTGACAAAATCGGATCCAGAATTGGCAGAACTCTTAGCAAAACAAGTGAGTGGAAAACATATAGTTTATACATATTTAAAAGTGAAATGTTTATTCAACTCAACTCATTCACAGTGATTCAACTCTGTTTAAATTGATTTACCTACTTGAAAATTGAGCTGATGAAAACTTCACCAATGCTCAAAAATTTATTATTATTGTTGGAATTGAAATTAGAATATTTGAAGAAATTTTTGAAAAATGTTGTATTATGCATCTTGTTTAATATCTTTAATTTAATGTACTTTTTCTTTCAATGCAGTTATTTCACTATGATGCAAAAATGTTTCAATAGCCGATTTGTGTGCAGTAAAAATAAAATTTGTGATAAGTGCTACCAAAATTGTTCAAAATAATTATAGGTTCATATCAAGTAATATAAACATTCAATGAACGAATTGCTCGCTAAACTAAATGAATTTATATCAATTAACCTTTATTATTTTCATTTTCAATTATTCTATCCAGTCTTATAGTTTTAAACCTATGCATTAAACTTTTAAGATTCTGGCAGGCCCCGCTCGATAAGGATTCCAGGAAATACACCGCGTTGGCGCAGTGTATGAGTTCAAAGTTTTCAGCTTTGAGTTAAAGAACAGGCCTGTCTTATTCCAAAAACTAATGTTTGAAGTCCTGATAGGAATTGTAGATAAATTCTGCAGAGTCTACTTCTATAGTATACTCACATACCACGAACCTGTCACCATCTGCAGTTGATTCTGGAATGACTCGGACTCCATCACCATTTAAATGTAAATTTGGGTCCTCGACTTCGAACTACTTGAGTAGGGTGGTCTCTGAGGACGGGAACAAACCCCATGAAAAACAGGTGTTGAACGTAAAAAATATTCCAGTCCCGACAAATATCAAGCAGGTGCGTGCCTTTATCGACACTCCCAGATATCTTCGAGTATATATTCCGAAGTTCGCAGAAATAGTCGAACCCCTAACAGGCATGATCGACAAGAAAATGAGGTTCCAGTGGAACCAGGAAGCACAGGAAAACTTCCAGCCTACCAAAAAAATAGTCTTCTAACCCTAGCTAGCGCAACCAGATCCTGTCCTCCCGTACGACTTGCAGCCGGATGCTAGCCACATAGACATCGTCTTGTTCTAAGTGGAACCGTAGACCGGTGCACGTAGGGTCATCCTAAACAGCAGCGCGAAAATGATAGGTATCTTCGAAACGCAAATATCACTTTAATGAGAAGGAGAGTGTCGTACTGGTCTGGAGGATCCGTAAGTAAAAGCACGTATCTGCAGGACGGTCACTTTGCATTTTTCGCCGATACTTCAGCCCTTACACGGCTGAATCGGATGAATGATAAGGCTAAGTTGACCCGTTGGTCGTTGCTACTACAGGAATATGATTTCGAAGTGGAGCACATTCCGGGAAGAAAGAAACAACTTCCAGACTTTTTGCCATGCAACCTCGCAGAAGGGAAAGCTGAAATAGATATAGAAACTGACGTAGAACGGATGTTTTTCTCATATGAGGAGTCCTGAAGATAGGAAGATGTCGAGGACGAAGTACTTTGTGTATTAGCAGATGAATTATGCAAAATGCTCAACGTCTGTGATATAGTATGTCTGACTGCAGATGACTCCAATGTGTGGAACCAAATGCACTCGAGAAAATCGTTATGCTTAAAAAAATCAGTGACAGCGTGAAGCGTTTCCGGATTAAGAGAAACCGGGCGCATCCAGAACCCTCAGAATATGAGCAAAAAATCCTACACGATTTTATAATGGAAATCATCAGTGGTATGTGGCTTGACAGCGAATATGGAAGTTATATCTCGAAATCTCAGTAACGACTGATATAAAAAGCAGACTGTTGTTCATATGAATCCTCCCCATTAGCAAAATTTTATGACATCCTTCGTCTTATAGACAAACACCAAATATTAATATGAGGCAGCATTTCTGAATTTTTTAATTTTTGTTTTTATATTGTGTCATAATAACATTATACATGTCTCATATAGAACTTAGTAATATGTTATAATTAGGAATAAGATAATTTTTGCTAAACGTGAAGTGGATGAATACTCGGGCAAGTTCCTTGATGAAACTTTTTTTGAGTACCTACTCAGTAATTTAGATATAGGAGTTCTATGACAATCCTAAAAACCCGTGTAAATTAGAGCAGGTTCATTCTGGCGATTTTACGACCTCCGATCGGAACCTTGTGGAACACCTGCCAGTAAATCAACTATGAGAGTTCTGTGACAGGAAGTGGCTTATCAGACAACGGGTCTAGATCCTTCTGGTCGTTAGCTACAAGCTGTTAATCAAAACTTTACAAAACCCACAATTCCACCGCTAACACGAACGGATGATTCAATTGCAACAACAGTCATAGAAAAAGCAAATCTACTAGGTGAACAATTTGTTTCCTCCCACTCCACAGTCGATTTTCTGGAAAAGGCACCACCCACTATTTTCACACTAGAATCCACAATGGCGGAAATTACTTGTCGATGACGTCTAGTCAGACGAATTTTGAAACAGCTCAATATCAACAAGGCGTCTAATCCTGATGAAGTCCCCTCATCGTACTTAAAAAGTGCGCAACAGAAGCTAAAACAACAAAAAACACAAACATTCAGACCTTTCCTCTGATGAATTCAATGACTTTTTCTGGGTTCAGAAGGGAATTTCAAAAAATACCAGCGTAAAACTTTTGAGTGTTTTGTGCAAGTAACGTTTGGATGATCTTGGGATTGCTATCGACCCACTAACGTTAATTGTCTCGATATCCCACTCAAAAGGAAAGTACACTAGTCCGGAAAACACACATTATTTATAATTTTGCAAAATTGCATGCGACGATTTTATCTCCTTTGTTTATTTCTTACACTAACCGAATCTTATATGGGAGAACTCACGCCACTTACGTTCTTGTTTTATTACTTTATTAGATATCGGATTCTCAATTTGATTCTTCTTATTCTGGATATATCCAGTTTTCTAAAATTTTCTCAGAAAGATAGCTACCAGAACGCAGTTGGTTAAAGAGTTCGTCAACCCAATTTCCATATTCATTATTCTTGAGTTTAATAATTTCACCTCTTCCCGGCATAAGTTATGCCTTTTCGTCATAACTGATTTAAAAGCTTGCATTTCACCAGAATTCTCAGGACAGACTATGCCTATCTGAGTTTTTTGGAAAGCAAAAAACACGTACTCGCTGTTCGTCAAAAACTGTAAATTGTTACTAACATTTAGATCAATGCGATAGATTTTCATTTGATATCGATTTAACTTTTCAATTCTTCGGAAAAACTCCATAAATATTGATTTTCAAAAACGAAGGAATGGACCGAGAATCGAAAACTTTTTTCAATGAGGTATCACTCGATTCCCTTTCCTTTTAACATCACAAAAACTTCTCACAACTCTCTCCATCTCTCTGCTCCATCACAAAAACTTCTCATAACCATAACAAAACATTCTATTATATATATTTTTTTCGTTATAGGAAGAAGCTGCTCATCTACTAATGTTCGAATCATCTCAACAAGAACCTAATAAGAAAGTAAATCTTAATGAATATATATCCAGAGCCGCTGATAATAGGACCATATTCTTTTTTGCAGCTCCTAGGTAGAAATATCTTGTGAACGAAACGAATTTGTATAATTGTTAATGTATTTCAATTTTCAGTCGCACTCTGGCAGAATCATCTCCATATTATGAATCTCTCAAAACTAAAAATCAGGAAGTGCTCTTCTGTTATGAGCCATACGACGAGTTAGTTTTAACACAGTTGAGGCAGTTCAAAGGTTATAAGTTGGTGTCCGTTGAAAGTGATATGAGAGATGACAAGACGGCTAATGATCTTACGAATTTGGGTATGTATTGCTTGTGTAATTTCTTCTAAAATTGATGTTGGTAAATAGAAAGGTTTCTTCTTGATTATCTCCAAAGAGTGTTATTTTTATCAAATGCGGTTTCAATTTTTTAATAGTCATTATCAATCTATCACAGAGAAGGTGTTTGGTTCCTTCCTTCTTTTATGGTTGTGATTTTTTCAAGCCCTGCTCATTCAATGTATAAGTCATCATCAGCAAGTGGAAACATCAGTCAGAAGCTTTCGACATTCCGCAACGACAATTAAATATTTCAGCAGTAACTTTCACAGAAAACATATCTTGCTCAAAGTTATCTGTCGGGATTGTTAGATCATCTACTAAGCAAGAACATATGATAATATGGTAGAATATATAATGCTTCAAACTACAACAAATTTTTATGAGTTATGTCTGAAAAGGTCTGACAGACTTGAAACGATGAAACGACTCACTCAATTATTTCAAAGTTATATTTTATCGCATGAACAACCAGAATGCTGGTTAATAATACACGACTTTTAGGTAAAACTGGGTCACAGATCCTTTGAAGCATAACTACTATTGCAATATTTCCAAAAAGCTGTGAGGAAGTATTCTCCCTAAAGGATTACATAAAAAGCTTTTTTATAATTAATGACCAGAACATATGAAGAGCTTAATAGTGGAAAGTTTATTTTGGCAGAGCTCTATGATTTATGGATGGATTAAAGTATTGCTTGGATCGAATCTTATTTAAATGATCAAATCTATGAGGCACAAGTGCACCCACAAAAATTAATATCAGCTATGGACTACTTCAGAGATCTCTACTAGAAGTAATGCTCTTCCTTCCGTATATGTTAACGATTTCAAAAAAAGTGAATATCGCATTATTTGCAGTTGCTTGATTCTAAAACAGACATATATCATGACTGTCCGATGCGTGCTTCCGGATTTTAATCTTAACAATACCTCGTTTGAACAAAAAAACAACAAACTTCGCAGGTCTATGTATTGATAACAACGCAAAGTTTTATGATCACATATCTGGGATGAATACAATCAGAGATCTTGCTATTTTCCTAAAGCCAAATATGAACCCTGAGAATGAGTCTTTGAAGGCTCTACTTTAGAGACACTCAGAGATAGGAGAGCTCAAACGAAAAGGCCATGCGGAATGCCAAATTGAATTTACGAAAAATTGAGCAACAATATCCAATAGCAGAGGAATCAATAAACAGAAGACCGATATGTATGTGAACTTGTATGCGAACCCAATTTTAGGCTGGCCTAGAAAAGCAATTGAATCATAGACTTGAATAAAGACGTAATAATTCACACACCAATAAGTAACATTAGTGTGAGTCGGGGTAAAGCTGGACATAGTTTTATGAGTAAAACCTTGAAAGCAGGGACATTTTATAGAGGAATTAAAGCTTTCAAGCAAATACTCTACGAATTGGGTAGAGGCATTAGAAGACATTCTGGTCCTATTTTGGTGACGGGTGATTTTATGCCAGTTCTACCAAATAATGGAAAAGTGCAAAGAATAGCCATAGAGGCGAAGTATTTGAAGACTGGATTCTTGAAGTAGAACTCATAATAATGAACTTGAGAAACACACAAAACTTAGAGAGAAATACAATATCTGTTATTGATCTTACCTCTGTGAATACGTATATGGCAAAGAAAGTAAACGGTTGGCACATGAGCTGCAAAAAATGGCGTTCTACAGAATGAACCGTGCGAATGCTAACAGAGCATTGGAAAAGATCAACATGTGGATGCCGAAGAATGAACTTGATCTTGTCCCAGTAAAACTAAAGCTGTTTTACTGATGGAAATGAAGAAATATACACTTTCAGATTTTAAAAAGCCCCAGTAACACCAATTTCAACCTTGTAATATTTTGGTGAACCACTGGATCATTTAGTCATCGTGTCAAAACAAATGGCCTACTGACTACTACACTTTCCAGACTTGACGTCAATAAAAATCATTGTATTATCTGATTTAATATTTCAAATATGTTGAAACTTTTTTAGGCAGTGAAAATCTGAACCTCTTATGTTTGATTGAAGTTTTCTGATTTCAACTTTTTTTCTGTTACAGGGGAAGATAGTTTGAAACGCAGTGAAATCGATGAGCTGTCGAATTGGGTGAAAGATAAATTAAGTGGCAAGGCGGATTCTGTTCATGCTACTACGCGCTTAGAAAATCATCCATGTGTAGTGACAGTTGAAGAAATGGCAGCAAAAAACTGATTAATCCTTTTTTTTTTCTCAAAAGAAAATCGGCGACTGTATTGGGTTTTTAATTCGGTTTTTAATTTATCTCTGAAAAATTTTATTGATGATTTTGGTAATGCCCTTTTTTTCTAATTTCATGCTATAGCTTATTTTGAGATTATAGGATAGTAATTGAATTATGTGATCTGAAATTCCAGTATTAATGACTTCACTTACTTGAGGTTATTCTTGTAATGAGTTTGGATTGTTAAGTGTAGGATGTTAGCAGATTCGAAAAAGCCTTGCTAGCTTTGCTGCTTGTAATTAGGTCGATATTAAAATCGTCTGATAAAAATTGGTATACTTATCTTCATCAAGCAAATCCAACAAAAAATCAAATTCATTTGAAAACTTTTCAACACCTCTCAAAGGTGACCTATATACCGGGTGTCCCACATTTTATGTGACAGGCAATATCTGGTTTGTTGAAGGAGATACACAATAATGTTTCATACAAAAGTTTTAGGACTTCATGAGAGCTATATTTTGATATAATTTTTAAATATACAGGGTGTTTGGTGTAGGTACTACAGACCAAAATTCCATTTTTTAAAATAGAACGCCAAAAAGGCACTACGACGATATAATTTTTACCTTGTAATAATAAAAATATTCAATGAGTGCATTGGGGAGCAGGATATCGGATAACGGAACACATGTGACGAAATGTGTTGGAGAGTTCTAGCTACTCGAAAGCGACTGTGGGATTCCTTCAAAATGATTTGATTTTGACATTACCAGTGATTTTGAACAGGAAAACTCCAATTGGCTTAATACACTCATTTTGAGGTATGCACGAAAATCAGTTATGCACAATTTAGTTTTGTTTTGTTAAGTTTTGTTTGGCAGCAAATTCGATTTTTGAAATTATAGGACCTATCGCTCCCCACTAGTTTAAAATAGAGTTACATAATTATATATCACTGACCGATAACTTATGAAAATAGCTCAAGTGATAGTAGCAATTATAGTCATAGCCATAAGAAAAAGCATGGGATTTTGGGCCAGAATCTATATTATACATTTACTCTTTTTCAAGTAAACGTCTGTATTTGAAGTATTCTGATATTCTTCTTTGTAAAAACATCCGCTTAATGAAGTACCTCACATGTCTACCAACAAATACATACGTAGTTGGAGTGGTCATTTATTTTTCTGAATCTAGCGATTTGAAGGGAAAATTATTGTTTTTTCACATAGTACCTTTGTAACAAATGATAATTGGATATCTGCAGCATATTTATGAATAAACCAAAATAGACTGAATTCCTATATCCCTATAGGTAAAATTCTATAATTCAACATATAGCCTTGCCTTCGAATACAATAACGTATTTTTAGGACGTTTTCTTCTCTTCTGAAGGTTTTTTCATGTCTATTGATTTCCTGATGACGCTAACTTGATTGGTGTATGCACGTCAAGTGTCATAGTTCTGATGTTTGCTAGTAGTACTCGTCTTTAAACGTATCACATGTGATGATTGTCATGTTTGTAGAACATCTATTACCTCATTTTAATTTATTTTTTTTATGAAAGTGAACATCTGAATTTGAAAGATATTCAACAAATATCATCGAATATTACTGGAGTTTTTTACCAACACCAAACCATTATTTTAACACCTCGACACGTATTGCGATCACCAAGTGATCACCAAGATAAAACTGATCTTCCTCTTGAATATAATTGCTTGGTGATCGAAACACTTATCGAGGTGTTGAAATAATGGTATGGTGTTGGGAAAAAACTCCAGTAATATTCATTACTACACCAAAGGCCCCAAACAGTGAATCAAAAGTAAATATCATAGAATCAATTTTGGATGAGGTAAATAGACGAAAAATCCCCCAATCACGCTTCCCCAACCCAGTACACCTAGGAGTCTATCGTGTGACAATTAATATGCATCGCTGAGTACTAAAACATCGGCAGAA